TATATATATACTATATATGATATATATAATATTATAATATCATATATATATACTATAATTATATAATATACTATGAGTGCCACTTGCTGTGTAAGATTTAATAATTAGGATTAATGTGTGATGTTTGACCGTGTCATGACCTGTTGTGATGAGCCAAAGCCAAAGGGTAGCCGGAGTCCTGACTGGCCTCTGGCCAAGACCTTGGCCGCTACCTGACCCCTGCAGCTGTGTTTGGACGGGTGAGAAAGTTACCCAGCAGCAGGGTGCAGAGATACTGGTCCCTATATATTAGGGGACCAGAGGACACCCCCAGCACTTTCTTCCCCTCTGCTGTTTCTCTCTGTCCGTCTCTGTGTTGCTCTGCTGTCTGTGCTTAAGGCTGTACACCCCGGGGTTTTGCTTTGCTTGCTTTCTGCTTTGTAATTTTCTTGCTAAATGTCTGTATGTATTTTTCCTGCTGTTCATATGATTCAGTGTATTAAACTCTGTTCCAAGAATTCTACTCTTTTCCAGAGCATCTTTTTGAGTGTCTTGATTTTAATTGTATCTAAAGAGGTTGGATCTCCACATTGTTGGTGGGAGAAGGTTATCAGGATGGCTTCAAAATTTGCGACCACAGAAAGAGGACAGAAATCTCAGGTATGATTAGAAAAGAATGTATAAGATCAACTGTGTCATCTGACCTGATGCAGCTGGACTCATTTTTTCAGTTATTCAGCAGCAGAAATTAAGTTTTAAGCCTTTAAACAATTCAGCTTCGGCTCATGTTGTGTGGTTTCTAAGCCTTTACTCTGATCCTCAGATGAGTTTAAGGTGCTCAGATAAATTTTGCTCACCTTGTTGAAAACAGCGCTGAATCCACTCTGAGACATTTCATCAGTCAGGTTTCCTGCTCGAGCCCCTTTGGAACCTAAATATGGATCATCAGGGAGTACACGTTACAGCTGCACATGTGGAAGATAACATATTTTTTTAATTGGGGAAAGAAATTAGACGCCACCTTCCACAGCAAAGATCTTTTTCTGAAAATTCTCCAGTACTCCTTTGAGTCCATCATAATTCTCAATTTTGAAGGCATTTTTGTCTTTTGGTTCTGAAGCGATGGCCCTAAATTTATCCAGCTTTGCATCCTTGATCTGAAACCAGAACACAGCTTTAAAACATGAAGGAGTTCCAAGTCTGACATCAGCATAAGAAAAAGATCAGTTCTACACATTAGACTTGTTCTGACCCACAACAGTAAAAACTAAATACATCAAAAGGAGCCACTAAACAGAAGAAAGAGGAGACATGATATGTGACATTACCCCAATAACAAGACGAATTATATTTTTCTCATCATATTTTTTAATTATCCCATTTTTGTCTGTATCAGAGGGATCTCCGTCTGTGATTAGAATCAGAGCTTTAGTTGCATCAGGAGAGGCGCCTGCAGTTTCGTTGTCAAAGATTTCATCACTGAAACAAAAGTAGAAAACAGATTTTGTCACACTCAAAATAAACCAAGCTGTAAACATGAACACATTAACACTAAATAAAACTTACAAAATGAATTTGAGGGCTTTGTGTGTGTTGGTGAGAGTTTTTAAATGTTTGTCTTTCATAAGTTTATTGAGAGCACGTCCAGCTGCATAGTCGTTGAAGTCAAACACTTTGTGGACTGTTGTGGAGAACTGAACTGCTGCAAACTGAAAAACCAACATAAATTATTTAGATATGACACCAAACAGTATATCTTATATATACAGTATCGTAAAAAATAAAAGCTGTGAATGCTTAAATGTTGCAGTAGTGCAGTGACCTTGATCGATGTGTTCTTCAGGCTGTCCATTATCTCCACAATAAAATCTTTATTCTTGTTGAATTCAGCTTCAGTCATACTCGCTGATCCATCGAACAGAAAGACGAGGTCCACTGTCTTTTTGGTGCAATCTGGGAAAATAATAAAATAAAAATATGTCTGTATCCCAATACCATAAAATTTATGAAAAAATAAAATAATTTAGTCATCATATGAACATTAAGGAATGCCTTTTCAAAACACACTTTACCTTGATACGCGGGTTTGAAAAAGGAGATTTTCTGGAGTTGATCAGAGAGCTCATAACAAATACTGTTCAGATAGGAGTTCTCATTGCATTCATGCACCAAACTTGGACTGCAAACCTAAATCAGAACATAAAAGTTAAATAAAGCTCTGCATATTAATTTGTTTTGCTCACAGTGATGAGGAGAGAGAGTGATTTACTCACAGTGAATCTGGAGCCGGAGGAATTAGCAGCGATCGACAAGCCAAGATGTTTGACTGTTGTTGTGTTTGACTGCAGGTCCTCTGCAACTGAAGCATTTTATTATAAAATACACAAACTTTTACAGTAATGTATTTAGTTGTAAGTTATAAATTGTGTAATATTCTGTTGATACCAGAAGGGTTGAACCACTTGTTTTGGTGAGGTTGGTAAATTCCTCCAGATCCATTTAGCCTGAGAGGTGCAGTGACGACTATCCTGTGGAAAATGATGACACTAATTAAACAGGAAAAGTTCAAAGTCCTGGCAGATCTATACAAATTTTTTGAAACGTAGAAAAAAAATGTTGTAGCTTTGTTGTGCATTTACTTTTCCAGATCACTTGGATCAAACTGGGTTCTGTGTGTCCCTTGAATTAAATGAGTGCGACACCCCAGCTTTGATTTTCAGTTAACACCATCAACTTTAATATTTTGATGGCATGCTATGTGTGTTGCTGTGCTCCTTAAGCCACCTTAAACATTTTCGGTTAATTTGACTGTTTTCAGTAAAATGAAAGCAGCTACAAGTGCTCCTATTTTTTTTATTTTTTTTTAAAATTTAACTCTGCAGCTGCTGATTTTTAAATGCAATAATTAGTCGATAATCTTGTCTTGCATGAAGCTTCTGGTGAGTGAATACACACTTTGAAAGTGCATCAGCATGACTGAAATTCACCTGAAAGATTTTTGTTAGCAAGCAGAGAATCACTCTGAACACTTCTAGCAGCGTTACCACAGCCGTAGTAAATAACCGGCTGCTCTTCATGTCGCGGCTTAGCTTTTCTAAAATGACGGTAAATAAAATACTGAAAGAAATGTCCCAGAAATTGAAACTTTTCATTTCTCTAATTACTCTGAACATTTGGGTTTGAAATACAGCAACAGAGTTTTAACTAGAAAATGACGCATTTGCTGTTTTAAGCAGCGCGTTAGATTAGTCACAGCAGCATTCAAAGCTCAAGTCAAAACCACAACCCATCACAAGAGGCTTACGAATGCTAAACTGGAATCATCTCACATATTCATTTTAATTTCAGCGAACATACCTTTTGTTACCATCACCAGACTTGTACTGTAGCACCTTGTATCCATAGAAATCACCTGGTTCGCCCTCGTGTTTCTTAGGCTCTGTCATTTTGATGTTAAAAGCCAAACAGGCAGGGATGGTTGAAGCTGAGAAAAGGAGAAAAATATGATCAAAAGTTCTACCAACTTTAAAATATAAAATATCTGCATTTAAGAAGAATACAAATAACTGAAGTTTTAATAATATATATTAAACATCAGAGATAAATCCTGAAGTTGCACTAAGTATAGTTGGTAGGGATACGCCCCAAAAAACTACCCAACAGCATGTGTTCATTAGTAGGTTAGAGATCAGAGAGTCAGCTTTTTGTCCTTTTTGTCCATTTAAGTTGTTGTTTTTTTTACTTTAGTGACGATTGAGGGAGAGATACCAGGATAACATCACATAGTATGGATCTAGCTGGAAAAGAAGTGAATGCATGGGTATTATTGTGTACTTCACTTTCTGAATGTGTTTCTGGACCCTAATTGGGAACACAAGTTTCACAAAATGATTGAAGAATAACGACTCATCAGGAAAGTATTAAAGTTGGTATCAAGAAAGATGAGGACGGTTAGAAGCAGACTCATGGGTGCAGTTTAGAGGAGTCACTTCCTGCTGGCCATTTAAACAGTTTCAGTCAGAGAGAGAAGTATAAAAATATAAAAGGACAGAAATTCTAGGTTGGAAAAATGAAGCCAAGGTGAAGCCACCTGAAGCTCACATTCTTTTTAATAATGGCCACAGGTGAGATGACAGTAAACACTGTCCTAATAGGTTTACAAGCTCATTAGTTCCTTTTGGGTTATATAGAATAAAACATGTGGTCAATTCTAAAAGTCCAAAAGAAGAAGAACGAGGGTGAGTTCACTGCTGCACTTTCACAGTCACACCCACTCAGTCTCTCCCTTTCTGGTATCATCCAGTTTTAAAACATGAACAATTTGAAAAACGCCCTGCTCGAGGCTTCATCGTCAACATCACAGCTGACACGCAGAGAAAATCTCGGCCAAGCACTGGTGAATTAAGTGCAGTCGCCCTTCTTCTCCTGCTTCTTATCTTATCCACAAAATAGTATCTTCTATTTTTGGCACTGGTACCAGGGTTGGGTTTTTTTTTTAATTAAAAATGTTGGGAACCAGTTTCAAAATGAGCACAGAAACTGCATGGAGAAGAGTTAGTACTTATAAGACACAGTTCAGAAGGAGGATGAGAGATACCATCTGTGTCATTTCACAGAAGCTCCTCCCTTGTCAAAACCTGGCATTTACCCAAAATGCAACTCAAACCACAAGAACTTTGACAGGAAACTGATGTGGTGAAATAGAGGTGAAATTAAGATGTCTGATGAGCTCACTTCTTAATTGTATTAGAAGTCTGCAGATGTAAGAGATGATAGTGACACACTTCAGGCAATTTATACTTTGCACAGCTCACCATGGCAACATTAAAGACTTTATACACCTCGTGGGCTTCCCCCTTTGAGATCACAGCAGAACAAAACCTCATTCAGCTTTCTGCCACCGTTGTTAACCTTATTTCAAATCTTGGAGTGAAACCGTCATTCAGGTGCTCGACTGTGCAGATGTGTGTCAGTGCAAGTAAAGACAGGATGTGCTGCTTAGCAAATACAAGCAGAGGCAAATGTAAAAGAAATAATAAGCACTTTGACAAGCTGCAAAAATACGCCCAATCAACTGGGAAACCCATTCACAACTTGACCACATTCAGCAACACAAGATAAAAATAGTTGTATAACTGAGGCAAAATTAGAAGCGTAGCACATCAGTGTCACAAGTCGGGGTAGGCTTTTGCAGAAAACTGGTTCCCAGTAGTCCCATTTCTTGGACTTGTCCAAGGAATGAGACTACCGGGAAGGAATGGGACTAGTCTGCCTGCCTGTGGTCCCACTTATCGGCAGCTGATTTCACTTCAGCTGTCAGAGGAAGAAAATAGTGACGCTGTCTAGAATGTGGAAATGAGCATCTATATTATTTTTATTGCACAATTGGACGAGATAAACGGTAATGTGGAAAACTGTGTCGAGGACAGAACCAACCGTATTATGCTGCTCCAAATACAAGAAAAAACAGCTAAGCTAACCAAGACCCCAGAGTGAAAGCTGGGGTCTTTCACTCTGGGATCAGACAACCAGACCCTGAACTTCAACAGGTAACAAGCAGTCAGGCCGCAGCCTCCCTGCACCATGGCGATTCTTTTGTGCTGGTTTTCATGTTTTCTTTCTGTGGTTAGTTTTGTTCTACTAAGAGAAAGATCTTAGAAACGTGTGTCATCATTAGGGATTTTGTGTTGGTGTGTGTGGCTGTAGCCTCAAGTTTATACTGTTAAATAGTGATTATGAGACAGTGTTTCAGGTATTTTACAGAGTAACATTAACGTAATGTAACGAGTAGTATAGCAAATTACTTTTTCCTGGGAGTAATTAAGTAACATGTTGCATTACTTTGAAAAAAAAAAGTATTTTGTGTAATAATTCATTTTATGAGTAATAAGTCCAACACTGATCACAACAAAGACAGGAACTACCTCACAAACATGCACAAAACATTTGAACCACAGCATGGATGCATGACTGTAACTTCTTTATTGCTGCTTAGCAACTCTCAAAACAGAGCCAATGACAACCCAGGGACAATCGATGAGTCATATCATATTGATAATGGAATCCAGATCACAAATTTCTTATCAATTCCCATTCCTAGTCACAAGTTTTCTTTTCTTTTGTCTATTTTTTCATTTCTGTAGATGAGTAGCAAATTAATTAACCACGAAGCATGAAAATTATTTACATGAACAAAAAGATGCAGAAAGGTTAGTATAGTAAATAAAACCAAATGTTGAGCTGAAATAGATATTGAAATTATAGAAAGTAGAAAAACAAGATAACTGAAGCAACATTGTGTAACTACTTAAAATAAGATTAAAAAAAGTGCACAGGAAATGTATCTAGTTTTGTTTTGGTAAGTTTTCAAACGTGTCAAAGATAACAGTGTCAGAAAACTGATGGGGGGAGGGGGGTTAAACTGAGTGTGAGTCCGTGCACTTTGCGAGGTAGGGCCTACAGCAGGGGTGGGCAATCTCAGTCCACGAGGGCCGGTGTCCCTGCAGGTTTTAGGTCTCACCTTGGGTCAACACACCTGAATCACATGATTAGTTCGTTACCAGGCCTCTGGAGAACTTCAGGACATGTTGAGGAGCTAATTTAGCCATCTAAAACCTGCAGGGACACCGGCCCTCGTGGACTGAGATTGCCCACCCCTGGCCTACACAGTGCTGCTTTTTTTAAAAATTTATTTATTTTATTTTTTGCTCCATCGCTTAAATTTTGTGATTTCATGTCACTGTATTGTTACGGGTAAATAAAATCATATTAATTCACTACATTTTTGGCAAATTTTCACTTGGTTTTCTCTCGTATTTATTTCCTATTTATTCCTATTAAATGTCTCAAAACAAAAAGCATGAGAAAGCATTTCAGGTTTACAGGTTGCCGTGCTGACGCCTGTCTCAGCTACACCCAGATCTGTCGCAGGGTCAAACTAAACATTTTTAAACCATACTAACTAAAATGAAATGGGGAAACACATCTGAAAACTAGCAAAACTGAAGTGAAATTTAAAAAAAAAAACAATATAAAAAATGAAAGAGGAATTAATCAAATTCTCAAACTGTGATGACTCATTTAAAAAATATATACACATCTCTTTGCACCTTTCAGCTCCTTGTTTTGGCTCTAAAGACACAGAACCTTGAACAGCTGTACACACCTGGATCTGCTCAGCACCAAACAGCAGTAAAACGGTGAACACAATGCAGCTGAAGGGTCTTTGACCAGTCCGTCAATGTAACATTAAAACACGTGCAGCCCCCAGCCCTCATGCACTGAATCTACTGTATTCAGCCCTCTGGTTGAGCTTTTCTACAGTTCAACACAACTGAAGCAAACATAACTCAACCAATGAAACTGGATACTCAATTAAATCTTTATTGTTAAGTTGTAAATCCACATGAAGCTGCATAAATAATTCAAAGTGTGTCTAGCATGCTCCTGTTCTAAACACTCTTCCTGTGAGGATTTCCTGATTAGTTTCAGTTTTTTTCAACACCAGAACATTTTTCTTTCATCAAAATAAGAAATTTAGACTTCTAAAAATAATACAATGAAAATATACAAAGCAGCCATGCCTGTCCGCAGATGAACTCTATCTCAGAAATGACAATAAATTCAATCATTTTGAAACTTACCAACAATCACCACGAAGGTGAAGAAATAGACGTGCTGTCGCCAGTGCATCTTTCAGGTCTAACACTGCTGCTGAAGTTTCTTCAAGCATGTGCCTGTGCAATACTTCCTGTGAAGGGCGTTTCCGTAACAGGTGGTAGAGACAAATTTCTCACGACAGTGTGCTCGACAAAATGTTTATCTTCGCTTCCTGCTTCCTCTTTTTTCGGCAATTCCTTAAATCCTTCACTTTTCACTTCTTTAAAAAGAAATGTGAGAATTTTATTGAAGGGAAAAAAGATGGAAAAAAGTAGAAATAGCTCTTGATTGATGAGCTAGGACCCCGGACCCCTCATAAATTAGATCTAAAATCATGCTTTTTATTTGTTCTTGTTTCTAATGTCTCTGTAAAGCACTTTGAATCACCTTGTTGTTGAATTGTGCTATACAAATAAACTTGCCTTGCCTTGCCTTGCCTTGCCTTGCCTAAATGTTTTCAGAAGAGCTCCAGCCGAGTCTTTTGAACAAAACAGCTACAACCGGTTTGCGGTTATTCAGTCTACTGAGTCAACAAAAGAAACTAAACAGAATAGGAGTCAGCACAGTGATTTCCTTCAAGGACTTCTTAACATTTTTATTTTATTGGATTTCTGCTTTTTGTTTTTCAGGTTTAAAATATATATTTTTTAAATATAGTAAATCAAGTGTGTGAAAGCTTTCCACGTCCACACAGTGATTGCTGTTTACAGCTACAGCACCATAAATGCATAAGAAGAAGGTTTTAAAATCGTGGTGGGTGGTGTTTAGATAAAAATGAGGAACTTGTGGAAAAACTTGTAAGAACAGCCTGCTGTTCTCTTTGAAACTTGAAAGTAAAAGCTGCATAAACTGTTCCATAGTATAAAATGTTTGTTTACAAGTAAGCTTTCAAGTTGTTTTTAATATATATAAAACTAGTAAACAAATTGTTCTCATCACATGGAGTTTGAGTCATGAGGGGCGATCTGGCTGAGAAACAGGGACACGACACGCTCGTGTGGTGCAGGCTGACCCGCCCATAGAGCTCACTTTGAATTACCGCTGTTTTGACACAGCAGAGACTTTGAATAAAAACAAATAACTCCATCCTGTATAAAATACAATTTTAAACACTTTAAACTGATCAGCAAAGACTTTAAAGGGGTCACAGATTATAAATAAAGAGGGTTCATTTTCCAACATGCATCTATATAATAAAGATTATTTTTTTAAAATAGAGGAGTCGCCACCAGCTACAAGCTTGAAATTTAACTGGTCCTTCTGAGTGCATCTTAATATAATCATATGATATTAAGTATTATAATAGCATCCAAACGCTCTTGTGCTAACGACGAGATGCAAAACAAACTTCTTCTTCACTTCCTGCCACCATCGACTCATTTCAGTTTGCTTACCGGACTAATCGTTCCACAGACGATGCCATATCTCACCTGCTCCACACATCCCTGAGTCACCTGGACACTGGCAGAGGGAATTATGTTAGGATGCTGTTCGTGGACTACAGCTCAGCATTCAACACAATAATTCAATCTAAGCTTTTCACCAAGTTGACGGATCTAGGACTCAGCTCATCACTGTGTCAGTGGATCCTCAACTTCCTCACAGACAGACCCCAATCAGTGAGGGTGGGAAAACAAGTCTCCCCCTCCATCTCACTCAGCACTGGAGCGCCTCAGGGCTGTGTTTTAAGCCCCCTGCTGTACTCACTGTACACTTATGACTGTGTAGCCACATCAGACACCACCTCCATTGTCAAGTTTGCTGACGACACTGCTGTTGTGGGCCTGATCTCCGACAACATCGAGACGGCCTACCTGGAGGAGATTAGGAACCTGGAGACCTGGTGCCAGGAGAATAACCTCCTCCTAAACGTCAGCAATCTAAGGAGCTGATCGTGGACTTCACTACAAAGCAGGCGAGGAATTACAAACCCCTCATCATCAGTGGCACGCCAGTGCAGAGAGTGGACAGTTTCCGATACCTGGGTGTCCACATCACTCAGGACCTGTCATGGTGCTGTCACATCAACACCCTGGTTAAGAAAGCCCGTCAGCGTCTCTTCTTCCTCAGAAGACTTAGAGACTTCCATCTGCCACTGAAGGTGCTCAAGAACTTCTACTTTTACTCCTGCACCATCGAGAGCGTCCTGACGGGAAACATCTCCACCTGGTTTGGGAACAGCAGGCTATTCGGGCCCTGAACCAGGTGTAGGACTGGACTCTCCCACACACATCACCACACGCACTCTGGTTTTTCTTCATGCACACTTCCTATAATTTATCATCTCTTTCTGCTATTTGCACATTTTTTTACTGTAAATTTCTAAGTTAAATCTGTAAATTTTGTATAACCTGTAAATTGTAAATACTGTAAAACCACTGTCATTTAATGGTCGGGCATTGCATTGCACAGGTACAAGCATTTCACCTCATGTCATACTGTGTGTGGTTGTGTGTGTGACTAAATAAAATTTGAATTTGAATTTGAAATTTGTCTCTCGGTGGTCTGGTCTACTGCCTGGCATTTAGGAGACTTTTGTCTTTACTTCTACCACTCAGCACTATTAAGCGTGCAAGGAGAATCCATCTTACTGCTTCTTAACTTCAAACAGTTTCATTCATCTTTATCCTGCATTCACGGCGCAGTTCCTTCGGCTTCTACTGTTTCTACTGTTTCTACTGTTAGGGATATAATATTCTGGACTTTAACAAAGTTCTGTTGCTCTTTGGTTCTCTGAGAAATTTGGGGTAATGAATGTAACAGTTGGGCTGTAATATTTCCTGTATTGCATTAATGCAATACAGGAAATATTGAAAAAAAAAATCAGACGTATTGTATTTGAGATCTGAAAGACTTTTCCTTTGGCCTACAACACTGTGCAGAGTGCAACATAATTTTAGGCTCATCGCTGATCCTTACCACAGAGAAATAAAGAGTAAGCAAACAAGATGCCTCAAACGCAGACGACTTTAAATGCCGTCTTTCTTGGAAGGTATTAATGTGTTAACACAACAATCACATTTTCCACAGTCTGGCATATTATTAGAAATGTTTTATTGGTGATTTTTTTATCAATCAATTTGCGGTTGATTAAACACCCTGTTTAATCGAGCATCAGGCTTTTGAACCTTGAGTGAAAAGTCCACCACTGGGCAGCCCTGCGTTATGCAGCCCAGAGAAACGATGTCCACATGTGAGGAGAGATACAGAGCTACGTTTTCTGGCGTGACTCCTCCACTGGCTTCTATCAGAAGAGCAGAGAACTCCTCCTTCAGTGCCTGAGCTGTGACTCGGAGCTCCTGCAGGTGAAAGAGGAGAAGTGTAACCATGGAACAAAAACAACAATCACCCTGGGTTCGTGTTTCTATAATATTCGCCACCTGAGGTTGAAAGTTGTCCAGCATGATGACGTCTGCTCCCGCTCTGGCTGCCTCCCTGCCCTCCTCTGCTGAGCGACACTCCACCTCAATCTTACTGCTGAAGCCGCACACCGAGCGGGCAGCTTTCACCGCCTGGGGAGCAAACGGGGTTGTGTGTTTGTGTTTGTCTGCTTTTTAGTGAGCACAGTTGACCTGATGAGAGCTGTGAGGCCTGAGCTACAGAATCTAGATAAAGGAAAGTAAAACAGACAAGCTTCCTCTTTGCTTTCCTGTGCAAAGAGGATGACTGCTTTCGGTAATCTCATGACCTCTTGTGAATCCCAGTGTTTTAAAATAAAATAATTTCACAACTTTTGTAAAACTATGTTAAAAAATTATGTTAAGGCTTAAAATCCCATAAAAACTGAACAGAGTTTTACATAGATTAATCTAAAAATCCAACTCAGGAATATTTCTTTTGCCTAGACGAAGCATCCTCTCAAATATCACCTTAGAAACAAAATGCAAACACAGGTATGCAGACTGATACTGCCAGTCGCTGCTTTCGTCATTTTTCCTCAGTCTTCTGCTTCTGTTATTACTCACACTTCTTGTGATGTATTCTTGTTTTGCTTCCTCTTTCAGGGTTTATTTATTGTTGAATTTCGGTAACAGCAACAAAAACCCAAACCCTTCCTTCTCATGTATTTTTGCCTGCTTCAGTCTCCTGCATTGAGTCCCCTCTCTGCCAACACATGACAGACGGCATCAAAAACAAAAGAAAACATGTCTACATGTAATCCTGCTTCTGTTTGGATGTTGCAAACAGAAACATGCCCCTTTGACAGTCAAAACCGTTACCTCAAGCTTTTGGTTTTGAATGTGCAGGCTCTCTGAGGTTTGTTGCTGATATAAAGTTCCCTGAGGTAACTGTAAATTTACAAAACAAATCTATGGGGTGTTTTTGCCTTCATTGTATACTTACAGTGAAGACAGGCAAAGAATGTGAGGAAGGGGAGCAAGGAGGGCACAGAAAATCAAAATATTTCATTAGAAACAGTGCAGCAGTATTGAAAATATTGATTCTCAAAACCTTTTCAAAACTACAGGAGTAGCTTTTGGATGGATGCATTCTTTCTAAAGCTGGCAGGGGCAGGAACTCTGGTTGCAAAAATAAATCAGACGGTATAGAAGTCTATTAAGAAATAATCATTTTATCACCTCAGATAATACTTTCCTGGTTTTATGGTCTGAAACTGAAAACATGATTATTATTTTTTAAATTTTCTTATTTTTGTCAATTTTATAAACAAATAGAGTAAAATAAAGATAACCCCAAACAAACCTGAATCTTCAGGTCCCAGAAACCACTGGGTGATATCATGGTGGCTCTTTTATATACAGCCTATAGACGTTTCATGAAGCCCTGCTGTCTCTTGTTGATAGTTTTTGAGGCTTTTGAATCAGGTCTTCAAAATTCAGGATCCAACGTTATCAAAGACATTACTTTCAGTCTGCTGAACTTTATGCTGGAGTTTAGATTACTTACATTTTATGTACTGATCTTTGATGCCCACCTCTGTGATACTTCCCGATGCCCACACATGATTGTCCTTTAACATCACCATCCCACTCAAATCCTGTCTGTGCATGGACACGCCGCCAACCAACATGGCATATTTCTCCACCAGACGAAAGCCCGGAGTAGTCTTACGCGTGCCAGCCACCTCCCCGTGCCAGCCGTGTGCCTTTGCAATAGCCTGGAGCTGAGAGCAGCGGGTGGCAATGCCCGATGCCCGTGCCAGGCAGTTAAGAGCCGGTCGTTCCCCGAGGAGGAGGGAGTTTGCCGGGCCCCTCACCACAGCCGTCAGGGTGACAGCATCTTCACCTGTGGATAAAAGCAGGTAATATAAAAACGGATCTGAATAAAAGTCTGTAATTTACTTTGAGAGTAATTTACAAGAAGAAAACTGAATTTTCACTTTATGGAAAAAAAACTTTTATTCGTTCCCTGTTGAGTGGTTGATGTCATTTCCTGTTCCCATACTTTCAGCAGATATGTCGTTATGCTATTAATCTTCTTTTAGTGTTGTGTTTTGCCTTTTGGCTCCATTGTTGTTTTCCTACCAAAGATAGTTCTGTAGTTACTTGGAAATATTTTGGGATTTTGCTTCAGGTATACTGTATGCCCACATTTTAGTGTGTATGTGATACAGCTCTGATTAGGAATTGATTACTGTAACTGGGAACTACAGTTGCATTATATGTAGTCCTCTCAACAGATACATTAAATGTAGTAAACTGAGAAAATATTAAGCATATAAAAACATAGACGCAGGTTTTGGATGTATGCATTCTTTGAAAACATGAAAACGTGATTTTTTTGGTTTGTTTGTTTTTTTTGTTTTTGTAAGTTGTATTAGCAAATAGAGTGAAATAAAGATAAAGAAAACCCAGAAACCAAACTTGAGGGTTCAGATTGGAATCCCACAAACCACTGGGTGATTTCATGGTGGCTCCATTTATCTTTTTTATACAGTTTTTAGACGTTTCATGAAGCCCTGCTGTCTCTTGTTGAAAGTTTTTGAGGCTTTAGAATTAATTTAAAAGGGGGCTGTTAGTTAGGGGGCCAAGGAGCTGGTGGTGGACTTCTGGAGATGCAGACCCATCACACTGACGCCAGTGAACATCCAGGGAGTGGACATTGAGGAAGTGGACTCTTATAGCTACCTGGGTGTTCACCTGAATAATAAACTGGACTGGAGCCACAACACTGATGCTCTTTACAGCAAGGGTCAGAGCAGACTCCACCTGCTGAGGCGGCTGAGGCCATTTGGAGTCCAGGGAGCGCTTCTAAAGACCTTCTATGACTCTGTGGTGGCATCTGTCATTTTTTACAGTGTTGTATGTTGGAGCAGCAGTTTATCGGCAGCTGAGAGGAAGAGGTTAGATAAACTCATCAGGAAGACCAGCTCTGTTCTGGGATGCACCCTGGACCCAGTGCAGGTGGTGGGAGACAGAAGGACTCTGGCCAAAATAACATCTCTGATGGACAGAGTCTCCCACCCCATGCAAGTAAATGTTGCTGAACTGCAGAGCTGCTTCAGTGACAGACTGCTGCATCCTCGATGCATGAAGGAGCGTTTCTGCAGGTCCTTCCTCCCTGCAGCTGTCAGACTGCACAATCAAAACTGCTCCCAACAAACAGATGTTTACATCAGTGCTGTAACTTAACTGACTAATCAACTGAACAACTACTACTGTTATAACTTGCACACTACTTTTCTCAGTTTATATATACTAACTTATTGGAAGTTGTATGTCTACTTTTAAATGTACAGGTAAAATACACAATCTGTACTTTTGTAATTATTCTAAATATTCTTAACTATTTAAACATCTTTCAGTAACCTGCTCTGTTTGCACTCTACAACCTGGGTTTGCCATTTATCTGTACTCCAATTATAAAAACTGTACAGAACTCTGTTTTGGTAACTATTCTCCATGATGTAAATATGTAAAAATTGTGTGTGTTTCTGTTCTGTGTCCTGTTCTGTTTGTATATGTGTTACAACCAAATTTCCTCTTGTGGGACAATTAAACTATTATTCTATTCTATTCAGTTTAATTATTTTCTGTTATATATTTACTGTTGTTCATATTAAACATGGCCAAACTTTCAGATGATGATTATGTCAGAGTATGAACAATTAATCTGAGCTGAAGGCTGGTGACTCAACCTTAGCTATCTTTTTTTAACTCTTTGTTCTTTTGAAGTCAAAGAGAGTAATGATCTAATATCAGTGTTTCAATCAAACGGCTGGAGATGAGCACAGAAACATCACCCACCTGCTGTTCAAACTTTCTGTTTAAACATCAGCCAATCAGAGGAAAGTTGTCTTAAGCGGGGATGGGTTAAATAGCTTGTTTCAGACTGGATGAGCTGAGAGGTCACACCAAGGCCCAGTGTAGAACAAATAAGGATTATTTTGAACTGTGAATCATGCAAAGCTACTCTGGTGTCCAGTAAAAAAATATATATGGAGCTGGGAATGAGCAGAAAAAGAACCCTCCAAAAAACTCAAACACACTCGATAGTGCTGAATGTTTCACACCCACCCATGACGGTAAATAGTCATGTCTTCCACACCTACGTCAACTTTAAGTTTCCTGGGACTTTCTCATTATCAGGGTTTTTTTTCTCCCTCAGACCTTCAACCATTGAATCATCAGAGCTTCAGAGGCCAGAAAGTCTCTAAAAGTAACAAGTGGGGCAAAAGAGGCGGCAGCAAGTTAGCTTTATGTTTCACACCTTTTCTGTTAGATGTTAAACTGGCTTCTGAAGGCCCATAGAATACATGATACATTTCCATTCATTATCTGCGATCTGACTCATGTGTTGTTCTTTGCTACTGCAAAGGTCACAAACACAAATTCACAGAACTTTTCTTGTATTTTACTGCTATGGAAGGAAGTATGCAATGCCTACCGATCTCAGCTCCTTCCTGGTAAATCCAGTCCACTGTGCAGCCCACTTCAGTGAACACTGCTGTGAAGAAAGGACACCCAGCTAGGATGCTGTGTGGAGTTTTACACAGCAACCTTGCTTCCACTTCCCGTGAGCCCACACACACTCCTGCAGGATCAAAGTTTGGCGTGTCCTCTGCCAGCCACTCCCGTGCCAGCCGGGTCAGGGTGTGGTGTGGGACTGAGTGCACAGCCGGGTGTTGGCATGGTGGAGACATGCTACAAATGAGAGAAAAGAAAGTGATGAGAAACTTCAGTTGCTGGGAATGTTGACATGAAAATGAGAAATGAAAGCTGATCATAAGTCAAAAAGTCAAAGTGCTTTCTTGTCCTTTGATGACAATATGAATGAATGATTTGAGTCAATTCTGAGCATGTAGACAATCTAAATCTTGTTCCTTTTTCTTTCTAGTAAAGAATGGTAGTGAAGGAATTATAGAAAATCACAAATAGTGGATATTAATCTTTATATTGCCATCAAAAACACTTAGAAAGAGAATAGTGCCTGTGAAAACCTCAAGGAACAGAAATCTGGCACATACAAAGGTGAAGCTCAATGACTGACACTGTGTGTATATACACAGGCATACATTTTCATAAACATCATTTCCATCTTTTTTGTAAAGCTGTGTGAGTTTTTATCTGAGCCATTGTGGAATTCTGCCTTCTTTAATTTTCACACACAAAAAAATAACCAGGAAACAGGTGATGCTTAAAAAAACAAGCAAATATTGTTTGTGACCTCCTGACCCAGTATGAACCTTCCAGATCCCTCAGGTCATCTGGATCCGGTTTTTTATCAGTTCCCAGAGTCAGAACCAGACACGGAGAAGCTGCATTCAGCTTTTATGCTCCTTATATCTGGAACAAACTCCCAGAAAGCCTCAGATCAGCTGAAACACTCAGTTTATCTAAATCCAGGTTGAAGACTCACCTGTTCTCAGCTGCATTTGAATAAAGCACCAAATCCACACTTTTAAGCTTAAATTTCAAAACTTACATTAACTACTGATCTTATCTATTTCTGATTTTATCTGTTTTGATTTTATATACTGTTTTGTTTGTTAATTAGTTTGTTTGTTTGCTTGTTTTAATCAATTTTAAATCATGCTTTTTATTTGTTTTTGTTTCTAATGTCTCTGTAAAGCACTTTGAATCACCTTGTTGTTGAATTATGCTATACAAATAAACTTGCCTTGCCTTGCCTTGTTATTTCTGCTCTAACCCTAAAACTTTAACTCAACCCTGAAAGTCCACAGTGAGTTTCACTGTGGAGAGATTGTATTTGTCTGATATTAGCTTCTTTTCACTGGATGTCTATTAAATTCAGAACTTAATTAAAATGCTTCATCTTTCACACAAAGTTCTACAATCAGGCCACATCATAGCTTAAATACTTCATATGACAGTAGAGTGCTTCACTCTCACACTGTGCTTCTTCCTCCGGCCCTCCTCCTGTGGAACCAGCTCTCAGTTTTGATTCAGGACAGGATTTAAATCGGCCTTAAATCTTTACTTTTTGACAGAGGTCGAGGTTGGGCTCAGTGTTAGTTATCCTGATATAGGCTCAGACTACTGTAAGACTTCCCATGGTGCAGTGCGCATTTTCCTCTATTACCCTCTTTATACTCGTCATGGATTTGTACACTTTCACTAAATGTCATTAACTTTTGCGTTCACGCTCCTGAAGTTTGCGTCCTTCTCTCTTTGTATGCAGCACATGGCTGCCCCTCCCTGGTGTTGGCCTCTTCCTGTTATATGGGAGTTCTTTCTCTCTACCATCGTCATATTTTTGCTTTCGGGTGGACATAGGTATATAATTAAAGTAACAACTTCATTTAAGTGCTATTTATGATGTGAAATTGAGACACTAATTCTAGAAGTGGAGAAGAGGAAATGTGTTTTTCTCGGGGGAGGCGGGACAATCTTAGTCTTCAGCTCAGTGAGGTAATTTGCTCTGAAAAAGTTCAGAACAAAGGGCAGAGGAGGGGGAAGGAGGGGAAGAGAGATATGGTGAAATCTACAGCAAAAGATCCCTGTGTGATACACTGTACTCATGCTGTTAGTTTAATCCACTTCTACACGTTCAATCTGATTTTCTACACATGAAAAACGTGTGGTTTTTCTGACAGTTTTGTCCTGTTAAATAGTGGGCCGTTCTTCCTCCCCACTATCACTGAGTAGTGTTCGCAGCCTTTCAAAATAAAGCATCTGGAATCTGGAGATTGGCACTATATAAACACAAGTAAATTGATTCAGGACATGTGCATTTGCCTGATTCCTGTGCACGTGAACAATTTTGTCATTCAAAAGACACTCAGACATTCATATGATTTTAACATATATCTCTGGCTGAGGCATGGCAGTGAAAAACAAGAAGTGCTCTTTCATCACTGAAAGGAAACGTGTTGTGTTGTGTAATCTTGTAATCTTTTGTAATCTTGGTTCAGGATTCAAAACTAAAACTAAAAAAAAAGACAAAGAAAGAGTCAGGTCAAAGTTCAGAACCAATGAGTCTGACAGACGTTTGAAACAAGATGAAAGCTGCACCCACGATTACAAAAAAAGTTTTATCAAGTTGATTTGAAGCCAGCGGACACATTAATCAAACAAATATTAGTTTAAGGAAGGCATGGATTCAAGTTTAAACTGAATTCTGGGAGATCAGATGATCTTACTGCCACATCCTAAACTTACGTCAGATGATAGCATTAATGATTTAGGACCCTGAACAGAGCTGAACTGCTAAATATGAATTACTGCAGGTGAGAATATCCTCTTATTGTGACTGTAGTGGCTCTCACTAACAGATGGGTTTACAAGTAAACAGAAAATATATACAAAGAGAAGAAATAAAACTTCTATGGAAATGTTTTTGTTAATTTTGTCACGGTTCTGGGTCGCTGACCCAGCGTTTTGAGTTTATTGTTATTATTTTCTAGTTTCTCCTGATTTTGTATTAATTCTTAGCGTTTAGTTCTTGTACTTTTAGTGTTTTATTATTCCTAAATGTGTTCTCCCCCCCTGTGCTCTGTTTGTGTCCCTGAGTTTGTGTTGAACAGTTTGTGAATTTCCTGTTTTACTTTGAAGGTCTGTGTCTCGTCGTGTCTAATTAGGTTCAGCTGTGTTCCCCTCTGGTGTGTCATTGCCTCGTTACCTTGTGTGTATTTATAGTGTGTGCCTGTCTGTGTTCGTTGTCGGCTCGTCTGTGTAATTTGGTAAACCGCTGCAGCTCTCTATTCTCTGTGTCCTTATGTTTTCAGGTTTGTTCATTAGTTTTTTCCAGTCTAGGTTTTAGTTGCTCCCTGTTCCTTATTTCCTGTTTTTGTACTTTGCCATCACTATAAACAAATGCTCACTCGCACCCCAGTCAGTACCTGCATTTTTTTCCTCACAACACCACACGACTGCTGCCCCAGCCGTGACAAATTTTGTCATACAAAGAATGATATAAAGTTTTTCATTTAAACAAATTTAAATAGGAATCTCCAGAAAAAAAACAAAGCAGGGATACAATAAGACAACATTAAAATAAGAAATGATAAATAAAACAGTACAACTACTAAAATGAATTCTAAAGTGTAACTCAATGCAATAAAACAGTAAAATGTTAATTTAAAACATTAATTAAAACAGTAATGATCAAAAGTAAAACGTCCTTATTAACCAGATTTTATTAAAACACTAAATGTACAGTTTTAATTCACATTTAAATGCTTTAAAACATGTTTTTTAACATTATCATTCCTTCAATCTAACTTTCACAAAAACATGTTGAGCAGAAGGATAATTACAATCACTGCGTATTCAAAGTCTGTTTTATGATTGGAACAGTGCGATAAAAGTAAATAAAATATTTACTTACGTCTCCTTCTCTATTAGCCAAAGTAGAAGTGCTGAGCACAGAGAGCCACTGGAAAAATGTTAACGTGGAATTTGACCCCAAGTCCATGTTGGAATGTTTACAAGAGTTAACACTGCAGGCTTTCACAATGATCCTTTTGACCACGTCTGATTTAAAGGTTGCTGAGGTCAGGCTGCTTATTTGTAAAAACGACCTGCGAAAAATTCAAAGTTTTCAGCCAATACATCCGAAAAACACGCCGAGACTTTTTAGTGTGTTAATAAAATATTACAGGTTACAGATTCAGTGAATGAGTCACCTGGTCCTATTGTGATTAAAATAGATTAAGCATTATTCGACTTCTAGTAATTCTAGCATTTCAATAACATTGAACAGAACATGTTTTTGTTTTTTTTGGTTTTTAAGAGCCAAAGAGAAGTGAGTTTGAGCCCCTTTCCAGTGATACGGTTCAACAGTTTCTTCAGCTCAAGGAAAACAAGCACAGGAGGGGATGTCAGCGAGGACAGCTGGGAGATTGGACAGGATGGAGGGAGATCTCACCGGGAGAGAGCAGAGTTTGGTTAGACCAGGTGAGACTATTAAAGAATCCACAAGGCGAGTCATGCAAGGTGAGCGAGGTTCCTCACCTGGAGATGTGTGGGAAGGATGATTATACAGAGTCACTGGTTTGCTTTGGGGTGGTAGATGAGGGTAATAGGAGGATGGGCAGGCACACGAGTCACCCACTGGAGGGTTCAACAGGAAATGACTTGCTCAACAGGGACAGATAAAAGATTCTGAGGCCTGAACTGCTTTTCAGAAACTCATGAAACACCAGAAACCAGAGAGACAAGAACACTCAACTAGAGCGCTTAGAACAGCACAGGAAACCCACTAGGGACTGATTACCACTCTGAAGAGACACAGGGCCAAGGAGTGGGAACCCCGGGGCTCCTTCCTAGACTCAGAGACCGTAAGAAAATGAGGCCAACCAGTGCGGGAACATGGCACACGCTGTATTAATCAGAATTTGTCATTCACACATTAAAGAACTGGTTTCCAAGGTAAAACTTGGAATATGTTTTATCTCTGCTTGGACTGGTTCCTTTAAATCTGCATGCTTCCAGCCAAAATTGACTAAAAAAGAGAAAAAGTTTAACTATACCACACCTTGTTTTCCTGGAAAAAGAAGGAAGTGAAATTGTCAGAGCTGGATACTAATGCAGAGTTTCAACAGAATGAACATTTTTAAAATGCTGTGAGAGCAAAAACCTCATTATGCTCTTTCGACATGCAGGTGTGCGTCTGCAGGAACCGGCCCAAACAGAGATGTATAAAAATAAAAGCAATCAGTGGAAAGAGCCACTTGGCAACGTGGACCACTTGTAAAGGGTAAAGGTTATTCATGGAGTCATTGCTAGTTAAGGTTAAATGAGTGCTTGCCTCAACAAGGCTCTGACTCTATGCCAGCCTGGCTAAACAATTGCATTTTTTCTATTTAGATTTATCACGTACACATTATACAACTTTTTTGGAATTGGGTTTGTAATCCTCTTGGTCTTGTGACTGCTCTTAAAGTTATGTTTACATGTTTGTCATCTGTGAAGCTACATTTGTGATGGTTTATGATTAAAAGTGGTCTGTTTTAAAAAGACATTTTAAATCTCAAGAAGACTTTAACAAGATGAAGAATTTATATAATAATTAAAAACAAATCAGATTTTGACCCCTCAGGTGCATAAGATCCTCCTTAAAGCTTGATGACCTTGGCCAGAGATGTTTTATGTATTTCTGAGGGAGCTGTAAACTAAAAGGGAAAGATTTGGTTTATTTTACTAATCTGCTTTATTTCTTTTTACGCTTTTTTTTTTTTTTTTAATTTGTTTCCAAGCTTGCATGTTAAACTGTATTGTTTGTTCTTATTCCTAATTTTATGATCTTTCTATTCCGTGCCTTGGAAAGAACTTTGTAACTTCTTACAAGGCTCTTATTCACTCAGATTTGCAGTTTTGATTAGATGGAGGTAAAAAATAATAATAATAATTTGCTGAAGTGTTTGTAAAGACCGGGACAAGGAGACCTGCTGTTTTCCCAGAAATCTCCCAAGTGTCTTCTAATCATAGAGCCATTTTTAACCTCACAATTGTGTAGCTGTTACTCCCTAGAAGTGCAGTTGTTAGACAAAGCATTGAACTGTTTCTGAATTTCCTCTTACAGGGCTTGCACAATTCTGTGGTCCCTGACTGGATCTACGTCTTTTATCATTGTAAAGATTTGTGTATGTTATTTACAACAAAAGAAGAAGAAGAAAGAAAATTTGACCCCACATCTTTGTCTTTTGTCATTTTCACATCCATGGCTGTGAACTTTCTGCATAAACTCGTGAATAGTGGTTAACAACACTGGTGTGTGTATATCTGACCATGGTACATACATTCAGTTTAAATGTCTTTTCTGACTCTTAGAGTGAGAGTTTACAAAATGGACTTTATCTTTATTCAATATGGCCTAAAACTAGTGACTGACTCTGTGAAAGGCTCTTAGAAACACTTAGAAAAGTGTTTATTAAGGCCACAGATCAAAAAAGCTGAAGGTTGTTCTCTCATTAAGAGGCTGATCTCTTATTGGAAACAGGTATGAGAGACAACACAGGTGGGATTACTCAGTGTAAGTGATTAATCCAAAAGGAAGGTGAAGGTTACCACAGTGTAATTTCATTAAGAATTACAAAAATAAAACGGGAAGTTGCAAAACTGAAACCCAGCATCATGAGTTTCCTTGTTAAAGACTATTACTCACATTCTTACGCATGGAAATACATTGCATGTGTCTTTCACATTGAAAAAACCTAATCTTTCAGAATATATTCATAATATATATTTGTCTATCTTTCAGACAGACAAATGACAAATGGCTAATCTCCTGTAACCAGATATTGTAACTACTATGTTTAACTGTAACAGAAACTGAGCATTTTTTGATTATTACATAAGATAATGTGATGAATTAGGAAAGAATCAGCTGTGATGAAACACAGCGCTCTGTGAAACAGTCAATGAAACAATGGACAAACTTATGTTTGATGAAAGGTATCAAAAGCAGACTGAAGATTAAAAATGGCCTCCTATCACATCTCATCCAGTTTGGTCGGGATGTGACCGGAGACAGTTGCTCCCCTTGACTTTTCCAACTTTTCCATTCTTCATTCTCTTTTTTTCAATACATAAGCGTCACACTTCCATACTTTTTGTTCAGTGGCAGTTTTGAGTATTTGCTCAAGTCAACGTGCTGCACTTCTGTAACCTGTACTGTTAGACCTGGGTCATCAACCCAGAGTTTTGAGTTTTCATTATTATTGAACTTTGAATTTGATATTCTTTATCATTTCTAGTCTTTTGGTTTCTTTGTTAGAGTTCTCTGTCTTATTGTTTATGTCTCTGTGTTCTATAGTCCCTCTCCCCTGTCAGCTGTCGCCCCTTGTCAAGTCAGCGTTTCTGTGTTATGTTTCCTGTTTTACTTTGAAAGTCCGTGTCTCATGTTAATGTATCTGGTTTTGCTTCCCTTGTCTCGTCAGCCCTTATTTGTCCCAGCTGTGTTTCCCTCACATTCGGTCCTCCTTACCACCACTCCTGCCTGCACACAACACGTACACATACATGCACATATCTGCACCACTTTTATTTTATGTTATTTTTTTCCTTCATCAGTTGCAGGACCAGTGGTGGGGGGGAGCAGGGGGTATGGAGGGGTGAGAGTTATCTTATATTGCTAGTAAAGCTTTAGGAGGCTGTGGTGGCCTTGGTTTTGTTGGTTTCATTTCTCTTTGCAAGAGAATCCTACCCTATTGCTTATGTTTGGGACTCTATAGACCCTTTTCCATTAGTACCTACTCCAATCAACTCTCCATGATTTGACCTGGAACAGCTGATTCCATAACAATTTAGTACCTCCAAATGTGCATAGTCGTTTTCATATCAACACGTCGGAGGTCTCGTGGCATAAGATAAAAGGCCTGGACTTGATTTGACGTGTGGTTCTTGCATTTGGAAGATTTTGCTGTGAACAGACAACATGCGGTCAAAAGAGCACTCCATGCAACATTTTGGGGAATGTTGGGGGGCATAGGATTGCGCAATTTACCTCAACTATGTCACCTTAACAACAATTAAGTGTATCTTTCATCATGCTTAGAACCTAAGACCATGTTGTAATATACTTATTCTATTCTTTTTGGATTTTTTTTCATCTTTTTCCTTTCCCAACCGTTGCACTGTTGTCTCTTTTATTGTGCTTGTTTTAAATGTGTGTATGATCTATTTGGTTAAAAAAAAGGCCAGATCAAGGGAAGAGCTAGTGATATATGAAATCGTATCATCAGAGTTTAGGGTGGCAGTGATAAAAGTGCTTATATGGTAAATAAAAGTGAGAAGTGATACTTGTGGAACACTTGTACTGACAGCAAATGATACCTTGCCTGAACACTGTGGACTCTACTGCCTGAATACACCAGAAAGCCATGAATGATCAGACCACATCATATCTTAAAGATCTAACAGGGCTCTGTTGGTCATAACTCCTCCCCCTTTTGTGCAGTAACTCCTCCCCTTTTGTGAGTGTGGACGCTTCCTCTCTTTGCTCTTTAAATGCTTTGCTTCTTTTATTGATTTGCTGTGCTTCTTTTATTGATATTTATTTTTGATTTTATTTTTTATTGATTTTTATGCTGATTTTTTTTCTCTTTTTTCCGTATGAGCTTACCTGCGATAGCTTCTGGACACTTATAGATCATTAGGACTAAAATGTTCTTAACAGAAACAGCAACATTTTTATAGTTACCTTATCTTCAGCGCTCCGTGTGTCTGTGGCCTACACACAGCTGAAGCCTGATTACAGCGTCTGGGCACCGAACAGCCTCAATAGCCTGGAAAGGTGCTAACCGCTAGGCTAACTAGCAACAAGATGCCTTCCCTCTCCACAGATGACTACCACAGCCTCCTGCAGAAGATTGCAGTACTGGAGACAAAAATTCATTGCTTAGAAGTAAACGTGGAGGTAAATGGACTGTGTGGAAATGAAACAACCTTGCCTTTGATTCAAAACAATGGCGATGAGCAAGCTAGTACACAGCCATGGAGCACAGATAACATGACCAAGAAAGTAGACTCTGTGCATTATAATAAATCCTCAAGCGATAATCCCCCCTTGGACTGTCTTGGTGCAAAACCAAGACATAAATCATGTCTCCGCTGCAGTCTCTGTTTGTCCCTGATAGTGGCTCCAGCGTAGGGTTGCCAACCGTCCCTTAAAATACGGAATCGTCCCGTATTTAGAAACAAAAGTACACGTCCCGTATTGAGCTAATAAGGGACGCACTTTGTCCCGTAATACAGTGAGAATCAAAAGTAGTCTATAAATGTTTATGGAATTAACGCTTTGTTTGAAAACATAATTCCCAGCCCCTCTCCTGCTCTGTGACCAATGAGCTGACAGCACACTTATGACAATTCAGATTACCGCTCATCTCATTGGTCGAGGAAAGGTCGCTTGCGGAGAAAATACCGGAAGACAACAGATGACCACAACAAGAAGCATGGCCAACAGGGAAACAAACGCCGACACTGCGGTGCAAGTCTCGGACGACAGTACACCTAAAGCTGGGCAGAGACTGTGCGATTTTTTCAGTCGCGATATTCAGCTCCTGCTCAAACTGCACGATTGACTCGCAGGGGTTAGA